CATATATGGTTCTACCCCTTAAGTAAAAAATCGGATGTTTATAATGTTTTCATTCAATACCAAAATCGGTTGAACATCGGCTTAATTGCAAAATCAAACAAGTCCAAACCGATTAGGGTGGGAATTTCGAGGATCAAATAAATTCTTCCAAAATATAGGAATCGCCCATCGCATTATGTGCCCTCACACACATGAGCAAAACGATACTATAGAGAGACGACATCGCCATATTATGGAAACGAGCCTCACCCTCTTAGCGAGAGGCCCATGTCCCCAAACAATATTGGACATACGCCTTTGACACAACTCGTTTTCTTAATTAACGGAATGCCCTCTCCTATCACCAATATACATCACCATTTGAACTCGTGTTTAAGAAAAGCCTAGATTACTCCTTTCTAAAAATTTTTGGTTGTCTCTGTTTTTCATATTTAAGACCTTATAACAAACATAAAATTGATTTTCGATCCGCACCTTGCATTTTCTTAGGATATAGCCCATCACATATGGGTTATCGTTGTTTTGACAAAACCAAAAATCGCCTTTACATTGCTCATCATGTCCGGTTTGTTGAGTCGATATTCCTTTTTTCACAAATTCACTCGTCCGTTACGAACACAAGTTCATCCACTCGTTTCACTCCCGTGGCTTAGTGTCCCACTCCGGCCACCTCCATTACTCCAACCCGATCGGCATCACTCCACTACCCCGCTAGGTAATCCACTTCAAAACCCACCTCCACAAGCCCCCATGGCTAGCCCCCAAACACCACATACCCACATGGATAGATCACTACCCCACCATTCGGTGACAACCCAAACCTAAAAACAAACTCTGCAGCAGAGTTTATCTTTGAAGTAGTTGCATTCTAACAAACTATTTCACTATAGCAGAGTCCATCTCTTCTTTGTTTGTTGTGGCCGACTCTTGTCTCAATACTAAACTAGCTTAAAAGCCAAGCACGTGAAAATGAACACCGAAAGTCAAAATAATCTGTGTATGAAAAAGTAGGAAAAGAAAGAAAGAAAGAAAGAAAGAAAGAAAGAAAAGCTTAATTGTCTCCGGAGGAGACTAAATAATAAATTAGTCCTTTTAGTTTATAAAAAGAAATTAATTAGTTTTATTTGTTTTAAAAGTAATTATTTAATATTTTGATGAATATGTTGATCGCGTTTAGGTGAATAATATTTTTATTTTACCAAATATTTTTTTCTCATTAATTTTTTATATTTCTTCTTATTTTTTTATTTTTTTAAAAAAATTAAGAAATAAAAAATTTAAGTACAACTAGGTTTAAAAACACAAAAAATAATTATTTGGTTTGTAAAATAAAAAAAATAACTAATTCGTTTCTCAAATTTGGAGAGTAGTTATAATTTACTCATCTCAAGTTTCAAGAGTCATGACATTAACTCTACCGATTTATATATATAGTTCACTAACCATCAAGACATGTGAAATAATGTGACAAAACCGTATCGTTTGATGATGTCTAGTTTATTTATTTTTTAATTTTTTTATGGTGATATGTCAAGTCAAAAAGTTGATGTTAATAGAAAAATGGTTTGGAAAATTTTTTGTTTTTTGAAGCATGAATAGAATTTAGTTCCAAAATATTTAAGATTGACACTAAATAACTTTATTTTGAGGAACACTTGTATCCTTTTTTACCTAGGATCCTTGATATCACTTGACCTTGATAACCGCATATGGTTCTTTATCCGCAAGAAGTAGGTCGGACTTGAGCAAAAAGACTCGAAAATGCAATACAAATCAGCCGTTTGTGTATCCGGTTACACTACAAATGAACGATACTTGATAGTTTGTCGTTACTTTTTGGGTCCGCACAATGAGCATGTTCATTGAACCCTAAGAAAAGAATGCCTAGATAATTACACCTCTCTCCCCGATCACAACTAGCCGTGTACAATACGAAAGATATTTGTGTTGGGTCGGTGGGAGATGATTGGTGCATTGTCGTCGCTCTCTCCCGGACTACACAAAGTGCATACTCGCCTTCATCGTCCATAGAACTTACTTGCCAATTGCCATAGCCTAGTCCTCTTATGCATAACGGTGACAAAAATTAATCTCCCAAGAACCGCAACCATTACATGGCAAGTGTTGTTAAACTATACCGGATCGGTCGGTCCAATGGAAAACTCAATAATACCACTAATAATTTAGGTGGTTTGATCCGATGTTAGGTTTGCATGAGATTTAGTTGGTCAAATATTTGATTCTTTTTTAAAGAAAAGAAAAAAAACTGCGAGATTTTGAAAAACTACATGAGATTACGACAAATGAAAAATAATTTTTTCCTCTCTTTTTTTTTTTCAAGAGGAAATTTCCAAACAAAAGGTAAGCAAAGGAAAAGTGGGCCGACCATAGGCTCGGAAGAATCAGCAATAATACAACAAAAAATTCAACATGATCTTTAATATCAATAAAAGGAAAAAAAATATCTTATGGAGGAGTGGAATAAACAAAAAAAATTATTTTCCTCTATCTAAAATCCCAAGATCACCATTGAACCATATAATTATATTAAGAGATCATTACCTCTCGAAGCGTAGTAACAAGGTAACAGATTGAACCATCCAAAGTGTCTAGTCTCTAGTGAAAATCCATATAGTTTAGGCACTAACACAAGAGAAACGATATAAGAACAAAGTCCTAGATCTAGTTTCTTTCTACTATGAAAATTATGCACTAATTTCTTTTTGCTATGAAATTTACGCATCTTTCTTCCCGTTATGAAAGTCGCACACCTTTCTCTTTCTTTAGGGGAAATTTTAGCCAACACCGTCTCTCTTAAGTTCTTTGATGCATTTTATTCTTTTATAAATCTTATATAAGGTTTAATGAATTTTTCTAAAAAATTCTCAAAAATGCCCATTCACATAAAATTCTCCTTATCGGCTTTCACTTACCCTTTGACCTAACACCTTTGGCCTAGTGACTTTACAATTAAATGGACCATATAAATGAGTTGGATCGGGTATTTTAGAGAGGTCAAATTTAAGAAACTATTTCCTAAATTACTTTTATCGGATTAGGAAACTATTTCTTTATATCTTAGGAAACACAATTTAGGAAACTGTTTTCAAAATTATCTCAATGATTAAAGAATTGAAATGAATTATTTGAATTCTTATTTTCTTTCATAATTCTTTGCTTTTGTTTATTCGAGTTAATGCCAAGCTTTTGTGTGTGACTCAAGAAGCTTCTAGATATATTGGCAATATATTGAGAAATAAAAAACAATTCTCCGATATCTCAATATACAAATCAAGATTAGCTTTTAGCAAGTCATCATTACTATCTAATTATCAAGAAGAATTAATTAATCTACAACAACCTTTTACGAGCATGGTTTCTATACAATTTAATCGTCATGCTAATTTATCACAAGTGTGATCTCAAACTTGGCTTGTTGTTTTTTCGATTATGATCACATAAGTTTTCTTCAATCTCTCGAATGTTTTAGGTTTGGTATACTTTCATTGTGGTTATAGATTCTTGAGCGGACTTTCATCGAAATACAATACGATAACTCCTTTATCATAAAAGGAATGACATGTGTTATCTTACTTCTTCACTTATCTCTCGTAAATTTTTGATGTACCCAATGAATCATCCACATATAGTTCTTTACCGAGCTCATCATAATGAATGTTAAAGCATACCAACCTTCTAATGAGATAACCATGATAACTTTAGGTCAAAGGACTATCGGTACCTATCTCGTATGAGATTTTCATAGACTATACCAAATGGGTTTTCATGACGGGTCACGTCTAGTGATATGTTCTCTAACATTATTCACTTGCTTACCGATTCGAGCATCACCATGCTAGTAGGTATGAGATCTCCTACTGCTATCCTATAATAAAAGTATAGAACACACAAGTCTTACCGCATGTTGTCAACATCTAATTTTGACAATGCTATAACTTAGGACATTTAATGATTTCATTTAAGTGTGTTGATGTTTGTCTCATGTTTATTGATCAATCATCAAAGAAATAAACATCATACAAACTTCTATTTAATTCAATCAAATTATAAATAACATGAATTAATACAAATATTTTTTTATTAATAAATATGCTATAATACAATATTAAAACCATCCAAACAGGTTGGATCTTGAGCACTTGCACTAATAATAGCATGGTTGAAAAGATGATTAGTGTTCACATTCAAAGTGCCTCGAAGTATCATTAAATAAAATGAAGTCTTGGTCAATCAATGAAAGAAAGTGCTTCGGAAGCCTAGACAATCTTTGATATTATGACCAATTGTGCTCGTCATAATTGTTAGCACCTAATTTTTTCTCCTATTTTATGTTTTTATTTTTATTATGAAAATATCAAAGAATGATAAAACAAAAAAAAGTGCCAAGTGCATAAAAATAAAAAAAAATCAAATCAATTGAAATAATTAGTTTAGATTAATTCTAGAAAGGAGGCTAATTAAAAAATAGAAAGTTTGGAAATAAAAAAGAAAAAGAGAATTAAGGGCCTAATTAAAAAAATCAAAAATTTAGTCTTTTATTTAAATTAAAAAGGGGCATAATTGGAATAAAAAATCCCTAATTAACTGAAATTTAAGGGCCCCATTAAAACAAAAACCAAATTGATACTTAAATTGATGGATTGTGGAGAATCAAGGACCAAATCAAACCTTTTCCAAAAAACCTAGAAAATACGTATAAAGCCTTCACTTTTTTTTTAATATATATAACTATTCATTCACCATCTTTAATGTACCAAATCAAATCTCTACAACAAAAAAACTTCACCTTGCAAGCTCCCTCCCTCTCAACCGAAACCAACCCTTACACACACCACAAGTAGCTCACCCAAACTCACTAAGCCAACACCACTCTCCTTTCGTAAGCCTTACCCTCACCACAACTACATAGCCACCATCACATACCCCCATCACCATGATTTGTAACCTCGTTTAGTAGCCTCGAATGCGAGCCCCGCAAGCTAGGAGCCTCGTGTGATTATCTCATTAGGCCAGTAGCCTCGCATGTACACCTTACGAGCTAATGCACCCACATTGTTTTTTATAGTAGCCTTGGATGGCCTTATAGCCAATACCATAGGCTCTCTCACATGTAAGCCTAGTGCCCCTAACATAATAGCTTTGCATGCCTTGCTAAGTCAATAGCCACACACGCGCGTCACCAATTAGTAGCCTCAAGGCGTAGCCCACTACACTAGTCTCTCGTAGCTAACAACTCTTACATACCATTGCCTTCCATAACAGCTTAAAGTAACCATAGCCGGACCTTCCCTCAAACACCAACATGCTAGCAAGACTCCCTTCACCTCGTGTGCTAGCTCACCACAACAATACCTTTTCTCCCTTGCAACCCTTATAGCCGACGTAGTCCTTCTTTCGATGCCCTTATAGCCAATGCAACCCTTCAACACTAGCTTCCTCGCCAAAAATAGTACCCTTGGGTAACTTTTTTGGCCTACAATAGCCTCTTGCTTGCAGCCACGCCTTCCTATACCCGACCTACCAATAAGCCCTCACCCACAAATAATAGGCCATCTAGGCCATGCCTCACCCATAGCTCTAGCCCTTCTATAGACCAACACCGAGCCATGTAAGCAATGGGTCTACCATGTCTCGTAGTAGGCCAACCATGCCTAATGCCAGGCCAACATTGCCCTTACATACTAGGTAGTCACTAGCTAGGGCAATAATGCAGTCCCTCCATTTTTAGTCTCTATTTTAAAGGATCATACATATATGAAGGTGTAGAATAAATAAAAATTTTCCTCCATCTAAGGCCCTAAGATCAAACCGTTAAATATACTAACCATACATATATGAATAATAAGCTATAAGTAAAGGATTACCTTTTGTAGCGCCGATCTAAATTCTTTTTCAACAAAGCCATCCAAGGGTCCAACCTCTATTGACGATCCACACGATCCAAGTATTCACAAAGAAGCATTTAAAATTAAGGGGGTGCTAGGTCCACCTTTTCCGATTTTGTATTTCCTCTAGAAATAAATCCTAGGCAATTTTACGACAACCTTAAAGGAGAATGAGAGAATATTTCTTGCTAGTGGTTTAGGAGAAAACTATTTTCTTTATTTTCTCTTTTGGTCATGTGCCCTAAGTGAATTTTTGGGTCGGCTGAATTTTCTTTCTCTCTTTTTTCATGTTATTGGCCGAATTTTTCCCCTCCCTCATATATATTTATAGGAGAGTTTCCTTGTCCTCCAAGGAGAAGGAGAGGGCGGCTATGAGTCCATAAAAGACTCTACATTATTGCTTCTTTATCCTCCAAGGATGAGAAGTTATTTTATATGTGGACTATTTGATTATTATGTTTAAAACATTCAACCTTATTCAATAAGATTGATGTTTATCTTTAAAACATTCAACCTTATCCAATAAGGTTGATGTTTATACTCCCACTAAAATTATCTTTAAGCTTTTAATTAAATCTAATGGGCCAAAACTATTTTAGCCCAATTAATTTACTTGGACTATCCAAATAAATATTCTTAGATTATTTTTATAGGGTCCACATTAGGAAACAATTTTCTAAAATATCCTTCAACCTAATTAGGAAACTCCTTTCCTTTTAGGTTCTATATTTTCAAATTTGAAACTAACTTCCAAATTAGAAAATCGACTTCTAAAATAGGAAACTTTCTATTTTGGAAACTCTTTCCAAAATAGGAAACTTTTATAATTGGAAACCCTTTTCCAATATCTTTGATTCTCATTTGTAATGTAAATACTTCAACTTATATATGTGACTCAATAAGCTCCTCGATATGTTAGCAATGTATCAAGAATAAAAGACTCCTCTTTAATCTCTTGATATATAAATCAAGATTGGCCTCTAGCAAGACATCATGACTACCTAATTCTCTAAGAGAATTAGTTAATCCATTGTTACCTTTCATGAGCAAGGTTACCATAGAATTCAGTCTTCATGTCAAATTATCATATTATGATCTCGAGCTTGGTTATTAGTCTTGTTCGATTATGATAACATAAGTTTTCTTCGATTCCCAAATGTCTTAGCTCCTAGGGTAAACCAATCATGCTTTATTGGTGTACTCTTACTATGGCTATAGATTTCTTGAGCACACATTTATCAAAGTGCAATGTGATAACTCTTTTAGCATACAAGGAATGACATGTCCTATCTTAGTCATACACTTACCTCCATTAGATTCCTAGTGCACCTAACAAATTACCTACGTGTAACCCACTAATGGGTCCATTGAAACGAGTGTCAAAGTGCATAAGTCCTTCAATGAGATAATTATGATGACTTCAAGTCTAAGGACCATTTGTACCTATCTCATATGAGATTCTCATAGACTAAAACCCAATGGGTTCTCATGGCGAGTCAAGTCGAGTGACATGTTCTCTAACATAATTCACCTAAGTGCTTACTTTGGCATCACTATGCCAATAGGTGTGAAATCTCCTACTAATATCTTCTAGCATAAGCATAACACTCATAAGTCTATCCATATATTGTCAATATCCATTCTCAACAATGCTACGACTTAGGATATTTAATGATATCATTTATATGCATTAGTGTTTGTCTCACACCTTTTGATCAATCACTATTACAAATGCATATCATAAGGACTTCTATCTAATTCTATTGAACATTTAAATAAAAGAATTAATAGAATGACTTCTTTATTATTATCAAAATAAATAATACAATGATACATTAACTCAAGCCCATCCATACATGGTTGGATCTTGGACACCTACACTAACATATTTCAAGCACCAAAATGGGCTGAAATCCCTCATTTTAAGCCTTAAAAACTAATCAAAACTCTCTTTTATTTTAGCTTCCATTATAGCCAAGCAAACTAGCCCTCTTCCACCACAAACTTAACCCTCTTTCATCATAAAACCACTACATTTTCCATTATCTTTTAGGCCAAAAGATACAATCATAAATTCATCACCTTTACCATCTTTTTAGGTCGAAAGTTATAGTAAAAAAGCCATAACCTTTTTTCTCCATTTCGGAACAAAAGTTTCTACCATTTCTAGCCATCACTCATAGTAAAACAAAATAAAAAATATAGTGTGTTATGTGTTTGACAATAGACATTAAATGATAAAACACATATAAAAATTTGTTGTTTTGATTAATTATGTTTGGAAGGAACAACATTATATTATAAATTGCATTTATATTAGTTTTTGACAGAAAAAACATAGCAAAAACTATGTTGCTAAATCTCCTCAAGTTACGACTACTTTGGAAATTTAGAGTAACTTTGGCGACATTAGTAACCTTGACCCTTTGCATAGATTTTAAAGAGGCTTTTAGTCGCTGTAGCAAGACCCATATCATGCTTTGACAACAAGAAGTTATTTTTCTTCCCTAACTAACTAAATAATCAATTATCATTGGAGATGAAGAGAGTAAAACCGATCTCAAATTAGACACTTGAACCACATAATATTTTGGGTAAAATTCTTAAAATGATTGCACTCTTTCGATATATGAATAAAAATTGACTACACTCTTTTAAAATATGAATAAAATTATTGCATTTAATTTAAATATTTATAGTGTAAATATAATTGAGGTAAATGTTATTGTAATGACCATTATGGATAAACTATCATGTTTTGCATATGCGTGCTTAATGCAAAATTTGTGCCTATTTTAGTGGTTTGATTGACTTACCATGCCCGATTGCAATGATAAAATTAAGTTGCTAGTGGCTTCCCACTTATGTGACAAAGCCATTGGTGGTTTCAAAACAATTGTACCTATTCTCTAGTTTCTTAAAATAAAGTCGTAGGTGGCTTTCCACTTATATGAATAGAGTTGCTAGTGGCTCTCAAAAATGTTTTGCTTAATTTTAAATTATCAAAATGAAGCCATCATTGGCTTTTTACTTATGTGATAAAGACGTAATTATTTTGAGATTATTTTACTTAATTGTTTACTTATCTAAAATGAAGCCATCGGTGACTTCTCACTTATGTGATGAAGTCGTCGATGGCTTCTAAACTAGTTATCTCGCTCCATACTTGAACAAAAATGAAGTTGTTGATAACTTTCTACTTATTTGATGAAATTATCTATAGCTTTCTAAATTTATAACTTGAAGTCATTGGTAGTTTCCTACTTATATGAATGAAGTCACAAGTGACTCACTACTTATACTAATAAAAGGCTATCCATCTTTAGAAACTCACCTACTTGATGGTATAGGTTGTATTCACTAAAGATTAACAAAGATTCTGACATCCTCTTTGAGTAGGAGGTATTGGCTTTAGACTTGTTTGAACCTCTAAACTACTCGTTTTATACCCAAACACCCGAACTACTCTATTTTTACATCTTAGTAAAATAAACTCATTTAAATAGGCATAGAAGCATAACACACAAATAACCAAATTTTTATGTTCAAATGCAAACAATACAACCTACCTTAGGTTAGACGAAATGATAGTGACGTTATATCTTTTTCATATATAACCACCTCCATACCTTGATATCTATACAAACTAGTACTTTTAGAGTTTGCTAATTTTTCTTAATTAGCTAGGTAGTGACTTCTTGTCCGATCCTTACGTGGTCGACATCGATAGAATGATGACTCCACCGGGGACTATACCATGCTAGGCTTAAGCTTTGAATGTCCGTGTTCATGAATCTCTAGTTATTTGTTATACTTCTATGCTTATATTTTTGAATGAATAATTAGCCTTTAACTGTTTGGTTTTTTGCTTAGTTGTATATATATGGTGTTTTGCTTTATAGATTTTATTTGTTTAATTTTTTGTCCTTAGTTTTTAAGACTCGATATGGAATTATGCCCCTATACACCTCACTACATAATTATAACTATCATATGCATTTGCCTTAGTATCTAGGGAGTTAGTAGTGGTACTTCGATGGGTTTTGCCTTAGGTAAACACTCATGAAACCTAAAGTCTTCTTGCTAGCTACCATTGGTGATGGGTAATCGATGATTTCTATAATTTCTAATGTCATCGTGGATAGTTCTCATGATTCTACTAGAGACTCATTAGGCTAAAAGGTATCCTTTTACGACATAGATAGAGCCTATCCACTCATGTAATAGCTAAAATCGGACCTTCGGACCATTATTTTCTAATTAGATACGATTGGCAAGTCGGACGTGTTTGAAACCTTGATTAAGATAACTTGGTTATGATGTTTTAGAATGGGTGAAAAAAGAGTTTTAAACTCAATGCCGGCTAAAGTGTCAAAATTTTACCGATATGAATAATCATATCATTAAATCTACTACAAGCAATCTGTTGGGTGAAAATAAAAAAGAAAAAACTCTTTTGTCACCCTTCATAGATGACTAATCCATATCTAGTAACAAATGTATTTATTTTATGTTGCTATATTTTGTTATTTTACCTAGAGAAGCATAGGTCATTTTTTCAAAACTATATTTTTTTTCATAAGAGTTGACAACTTAAGCCAAAGCAAAAATAGACAATGAAGAAAGGGCTCAACATGAGTAAAGCCATCGAAAGAGTTAAGTGCTTTGAAAGTAGAAGTGTTTAGGCTAGTCTGTTTACTTAAGCAAAATATGTAAACTTATA